AAACAGGGGCGTATATGAAGGATAAAAACGTGATGGGTCATAAAAAGATGAAGAACTTGATGAAAGTAAGGAATGGTGCCAACAGGTATACTTGAAAGGTACCGATAGCATCAATTGTTATAACCGTTAATGAAGAAGAAATGACATTAACATGTATACTTATTCAACTAATGTCTCGTACTCTAATATTGGAGTGAAAAAAGTGAAGCGAATGCATATTTTATTAGGCGTTGCGCTCCAACTAATGTGTTAGTTTGCCAGGGCAGCTGCTTATTTCACATGTAACAAATTTTAGAGGATTAGTCCATTTCTTTCAACAGGAAATTCTATAACTGTACAATATCCACTTTTTACATTTGATTTGATATTATTAGATAGAAGAACATATTATATCAATATTATAATCTATTATGGATGATAAGTAATTTAAATTATTGGAAACTTCCTGTTATTACTATTCATACTATAGTATCCTTGTGATGTGTTTATAATATAAATCAAATTAAAGCTTAAATATCTAATCAATAGTTTTTGTTCAAACATAACAATATTCTTGTCCCTCAAGAAATACATTGCATGGACAATGCAGATTTGCAGTATGCCGCTATTTAATTTCTATTAGCAAATCAACATTCTGTAAGGCAAAAGGATTTAAAAATAAAATTATGGGTCGTGTACGTAGTTTAAAGAGACAATAACCCTTTGGGGATCTGCGTCTGACTGTTAGAAATCATTCTTGATTTGATGTGATTCGGCTAAAGGTACATCGGGGATGTTCATATTAGATTTTAATCAAAATTAAAACAAATTTGTATATTCATCGCTGTAATACTAACGGTTAAAACTTCGATTTATAAGACGTAAACATTATTTAGCGGGAATCGGTTATGGAAAACTTCTGAAATTCTTCTCAACTACACAGTGATACAAACCCCGTAAAATCTAGACGAGAGTCTAGTGTCCCCACCGCTTGGTTACCACGTTCGCAGGTCAGTACATGTCGATAATTAGATGAGCTTCAGTTATTACAATATAATTCAAAATTAATCACAATTATATTCTTGTGGAAAGTGATAATGCCGGAAATAAAGAACTTCCATTATTTTGTCTACAACTGGACTGTGTTCATTTATTACATTCAGTTTGAATTGATTTGAAAGTGATATCTTTCATACAAATGTTAAATCCAGCTTAATTCTTTTATCAACAGTGAATACATTTGTATTTACCTGTAACACTAATCTAAAACTGTAGGTGTGTGTATATAATATGATATACAGATAAACAAATAAACAAATACCTTCTATAAATATGCTTATCTCTAATAAATATATACATGCATATCAAATGAAATGAATAACCTTCTATATCCTATCTATGTTATTATTTTATTCATATAATAGTTGTATATTTAGTATATAAGTCTTTATTCTTCCCTTTTATATATCGAGCTACGATTATTCTTTATTTTCGTACATATTGGGTTCAAACTAAGGGTACAACTTTCAAAATAATGCAAATAACTAAATCATCCTGAAAAACTCGCAGGTCTGTATTGAAATAAACAACAATATCTTTAGACTTTGGGGAATAATGGTTTTAGCTTTACAATTGGGACTTAAGACAATACCTGAAAGTATGCAATGTGAAAATAAAACACCTACTTACAAAGACATAGTCTATGATAATGACATAGTATTGCCAGGCAACGGTTACGCCCACAAACGCTTTGTGGACGGAAGCAGGATTGTTGAAGTGTGTTTTGTCAGCCAAAGAAGTAATAAATATATCACAGAAACTGATCTCAATAGCAAGCTCAAATAGTCTGTGAGAAATGAATTAATGAGGTGCCCTGCTCATTGCGTATATGACGCGTTATCCCAGTGATATCGTTCCGTTCTACTCCACTAACCCATGGGTCCATTCACGGGATTTTCAAGAATTCAAATTATCTGCCCTTGATTGTAAATTGAGTCTACAAACCAATCAAAAAACCGTTTATATACCAGTCTTAGCGTCATTGTTTACGCTCACTGCAATACAGTAGCTTGTACGCTCGATTATGAAAAGGGATGCACGAAATTTAAAGTCAACGAAGTGACCACACTGATCCGCAGTGAATATTCGCTTGGCCGCACTTGCGAAGTGACATGCACACAAAACGACGTCCTAAAATATTTTGACCAAGTTTGCATCATTAGCGTCATTGTTTACGCTCACTGCAATACAGTAGCTTGTACGCTCGATTATGAAAAGGGATGCAAGAAATTTAATGTCAACGAAGTGACCACACTGATCCGCAGTGAATATTCGCTTGGTCGCACTTGCGAAGTGACATGCACACAAAACGACGTCCTAAAATATTTTGACCAAGTTTGCAACACCGATTCGGCTATCTTAGTTGTAGTAACTTCCCTTCGCCAACTCGATTAGACGATAAAAATACCACAATTATCAGGGGCGGATAATTTGACTGTGTGTTTCTCTCGTGAATGGATCCAAGGAAACGTACCTAAGTTGCTTACCCTATTCATTTGGAATCTAGAGAATTGATTATTAGGTACTTGTTGTATATTACATGGGCCTACTATTTCGCATGTAAAATTTTCAAATTTATGGTTGCCTTTTTGTACCTAAATAGAAGAAAGGCACATAAACAATTTGGGCATCGAATCAAACGGCGACATCAATCCTATATCGACTGCTGAACAGCGACAGCAAGTTTAAACAAAAGGAACAAGCCAACAGTGAGGCTTATGTCACCCGCCAAAATAAAAAAATAGATAACACATATTAATTAATTGCACATTTATCTTTTTCAATAGTATCGATCAATCAAACTGATTATCTATACTTAGTCTAAGCATAACATGTTCACAATCAAACTCAGTCAAGGTTTAGAAGTAGCTAGTAATGAAACCATACATTTCATCACTCTCCATCAGTTTGAATCAGTGTTGTTTAGCTGTGCTAATAGTCCACTGCTTTCTTCGGGACAGCAAATTACAGTGTTTCTACGACAGGAGCAACAAGCCAACAGTGAGGCTGATCTCCGCCGCCGAAATCCCAAAATAAATAGATGACACATTGATAAATCGCACATTTATTTTTTTTCAAAAGTATCAAGCAATCAAACTATACACCAAGTTTCACCACTCTCTATCAGATAGAATCTAGATTATCTTGTCCTAAAGCATTGACCAATGTTAATCATTTAACTCAGTCAAGACATTCACCTAATGAATATCTACATCAAGTTTAAACATTCTACCTCAATTAAAAGCAGAGTTGTTATATTCCAAAGTCTTGACCAATCAAATTGCTTATCGCTCCTTAGCCTGAGCAGGTAATGATATAATGAATCTATATTCGGAGTTTCATCACTCTCACTTCATTATAACCAAAGTTATCGTGCCCCAAAGCATCAGCATATCAGATTGCTTATCTCTGCTTACCGTAAGCAGACAATGTTCATCATCGAACTCCATCAAGGCATTCACCTATTGAACGCCTACATCAAGTTCAAACATTCTACCTCAATTAGAAGGAGAGTTATCGTGTTCCAAAGTCTCGACCAATCAATTTGCTTATCGCTCTGCTTCCCCTCAGCAGAAAATATTCATAATCGAACTTAGTCAAGGTATTGATGAAATAAAGCTATACAACAAGTGTCCTCACTCTCACTTAATTAGAACTAAAGTTATCGTGTCCCAAAGTATCAACCAATCAAATTGCTTATCTCTGCTTACCCTAAGCAGAAAATTCTCATCTTCAAACTCCATCAAGGCATTCACCTAATAGACAACTACGCCAAGTATGAACATTCTAACTCAATCAGAATGAGAGTTATTGTGTTACCCTAAGCAGAAAATGCTCATCTTCGAACTCCACCAAGGCATTGACCTAATAAACACCTACACCAAGTTTGATCATTCTAGCTCAATTAGACAGAGAGTCATGGTGTCCCAAAAAGTGTGACGGACAGACAGACCGACGAACCCATTTTAATAGTCCCCTGTTTTCTTCGAAAGGCGGGGGACAATAAATCAAATTTAGTTGGCTTTACATGGAGACTTGGCAGGTACAGTAACTCAGCAGGAAACAACCGTGCACGAGAGGTTGTTGGTAGTGCCGTGCCGTTATGAAATGTAAATGAAACGATTGTGGTAGGTTTTTAAAATAAAGATATGAAAATAATTGTATATTCCGAATCACGGTTCTATGATTCTCTGGAGGGATGTCTGGGTTGAACAGCTACGTAATCAAAGGGAGAATAATCCAAAATTGTATATTATTGTAAAAATTACTATTCACTACAGCTACAAACTTCTAGTATCCAATAGCCGTGAAGGGTTCATTGGAAAAATGTGACCTATTGTTAGGAAAACACATAATGCACACACTTCAGGTGAAGCAATATTTGGAATGCGAAAAATTCAGCATGACTGTGACTTTCTCAACGACTTTCAACTGTTGCATATTTATATTTTTATCCTAGAAATTTAGTCCTCGACTCCACTCTTTTTCATTAATATCGTGAATGGGTGAGTTCATAACATAACAGTCACTCTCATGTGTGACTCCGCTACAATACGTATAGGTCTCAGATTTTATAAAGTACTCAATAGAACTAAACTTGCCAATTCCTGGTCATTTTTCTATATAAAATATTATTTACAGAACATGACATTCTAGAATATTAACTGTCTGTAAATGAGTGAATATGGCTATTTCTTGTCAAAACTTCAAACATTCATAACTTTGCTCAGTATAGTAATTCAACAGAAATTTTCAATAGATTCATTTTTCATTAACCATTTTTTAACTATACAGCAAGAATGGACAGCTCTTTCTCGAAATCTCCTATAATATATCTTTAAGAAGGGTATATGGAAATGCCATTTTCTTAAAATTCTGAAACGTTATCAAACATTTTTTGAAACAGGAGAAAGGATAAGATGGTTCTATCGGGTAATAGAGATAAATACCTTACAATTAAGTTCTAAGAAAATATATATTTTTAATATCAAGAAATGTATATAACAACAAATTATCTTTGATAACATATTGTGCTAAGGTATTTTTATACTATTTAACAATAACATTTGAATTAGTTGCTATAAGCAGATTCGTTTTCTCAGAGTTATAATAATTACTCAGAACATCAAGTACATGTGGTAAAGTGTTCTCTGTTAAGTACAGTAAAGAATGAATGGTTCTATATTCTATTGACAATTGCTAATTAAGGAGGATTTTGCCCATTCAGTGTGTTGTGTTTCTTCCTACTCGTCACAGATACAGGCTCTTTGTTTGATTATAACATGCAATTTCACCATATCCATATTGACTAAACTTTAATAACAAATTGATAGACTATCTACTTTTCATTCCCCCTTGATTTGTAACCCGTCATCAAAACTGAACTTACATGTATACCATGAATTGGAAGCAATATTTATGTGCTCAGCTATGTAGGTATACATAATAAGTATTTCTGAATTTGATTAATTTATGAAATAAAACAAACAGAATCTAAAATCAAACAGCACATGATAAAAAAGACAATATAAAATACAAATCAAATTGTGAAGGATTAAGAGGATTCATCTGACCACCCTTTAATCATTTAGTGATGTTAACCTTTGGAATGAATGTATATGAAAGTATTAAATCATATAAAATATAAACTATTATTTTGGATGTTTGACCGTGAGTATGAAACAAAACGACAATTGAACAACCCAGAATTTATTTGAAACACAATTCTGTCACGATGTATGAGAAGAAAGGTGACATAATAAACACCATGAACACATTTCATCTGTGGTGGTTTTGAGATACATGTAATTCAATTCTGGCTGTTCAATTTATAGTAGTCAGAGTGATACCAATATACAATCAACATATAACCACAAATTATGTGATAAATATGAAAATACACACATTAATAGAGAACAAATTTAATATACGAGACAATTTCTTAATCTATGGTAACTGTCTAGTATTCGTTGACCTGACTACATACAAACTACTATGAATAACATTTAATAAAAGCACCATAATAATTATGTGACATTAAATGGCAATGTTTTATTAATAGATTTTGTTTCGTACATATATAATTCAAAAGTGGCCCTATCACTTTAATAACCCTTAATCTATTAACTAGGACCTTCAAATCAGATTGTGTGTAAATTTTGAGACTAATCTGCAGATCCATTTCAAAAATTAACTGTTTTGAGCAACATAATCCATGTTGAATTAAACAAGGCACACTTGTTTTCAAAAGAATTTACATTATGAAGCAAATATTGTAAATTATTAGATATCACATGAATAAATATATAAATGCATAGTGTGTATACTATAGTTATATCCATGAGACAAAAATAAACATATTTAATATAAGAAAAATATTACATATTATAAAAAACTGATTGCAATTCATATTATTATTTTTCTTTACATTATTTACATATGATTTACATCTAAACAGGACGACTAACATGAGTAACAATAGTACTTAATATACAGTAAATATATCTTAATGAGCATTTGAACTAAAAAAAAATAATAAATAATATTGTAATTTGATACCGTCACCATTATTTAATGTTAACAATTAAAAAAAAAAAAATTGTTTAATGCCTCATGTTCTGAGCATGTGTTAATTATTTGAATTTAAATATGTTGAGATGTAGTATCAGGGATTCTAAAGAAACATGCCCAGAATAAGAACCATGAAGGATATGCGATTATTATTATATAAAGAATAATTACAGTGGAGTAAATACAATAGAATACATTATTTGTATTTTGTGGTTTTAATCACCAGATATATTATTGGTTTGATGGTTTTCATCAATAACTTACGTAGACTAAATAACAGACTAGAAACATATCTATATACATAACAGCAGTTAAAATTCAACAAAAACTATAAACATATTTTATTATCACCAAATATCAGTTTTCATTGTTCACTTTTGCTCATTCTTTCCTTTTTTTCATTCCATTGTAAAAATATTGGGAGTTAAAAAGATCATACATGTCTTTTTGATATCAAATATGAAGAGCTCTGGTTAAATAAGGCCACTTATTTCAGATATCTAATGTAAATATGATACTTTTACTGATTTTGAGTTCATTACTTTATTTTTTTCCGTCTGGAGTAATTTTATTGGAAATTGGTGAAATTTTTCATGGTAGGCTGTTATGTAAATTTGGTGTGTTTGTGTCAGTTATTTGCAGTTGCAGTCACTTTTTTTCAGGAAATTACTTTCTGACTTGGAAGTCTATATTAATTTTATCCATTATTTGTTTAGATAATTATATATCTCTGATATCAATTTAAAGGTTTTTGAATACAAAATTTAAACTTATACATAGTTGTGATTTAGCCAGAACTGGTCACAAATACATCAATAGTTGACAAAAAAGTGAAATTCGATGTCAGTGAAATAAGTACAAGTCTATATTTACAAAACTTAACTCAATTCTTTATACATACATTGTATTTATAACTTGATTCATTATACAAATTTATATACAAATGTAAACTATATAATTATGCTTCATATAAAATTATTTTATACATGAAAACAACATTTCTAATACAAATAATAACATACGCAGTTTAAAATTAGAGATACATACAGAATGAAATTAATATATAAATTGTAATTCAATAGCTTGTTTTAACGTATCAGATCAGCTTGTAAAATGAGATGCAACCATTGCTGGTTTTCTTTCTCAATGACATATCTACCAGGAAATCATATTTGTAGCAAACTATTTACAGTTAAATGTGTCATTTTAATGACCAATATGACGCTATATCTTTATTCAAATTTTATTCTATAATATTCTTGTTTAATCTTGATGATACCAGGTAAATAAATGCTTGTATAAATTTGACCCTTCTGACATTATAATCACCTATCTACCACGCTATTACAGGTACATAAAAACAACATGACCAATTAGAAATGAGCAAGAAGATTTAAGCATAATATGTGACCTATTTAAGGCACAATAATTGAATGTTTTAAAGTATTATGCTGCTGAATCTAGATCATGATTTTTAGTTGTATCTACTAGAGTAAAACCATCACTTGGTGGGCCTTTACTTTCAACTTCAAGTTGTGCTGGATCTATCATATCATCAACATCACTATCTTCTGTAGCATCGGTACCTTGTTTATCTAAATGACCTTGTACTGCAGCTCGTAACTAGAAAAAGAAAGACAAGTTGAAATGTTTTCATGTGGAGGCAAGTATTGGTACCGGCAGAGTTTTCAAAATTGATTAATGCTAAAGAAACAAATGCCTCTTCCAACCAATAATGATTTGGAATGGATCTAATGAATAATGATTTGAAATGGATCTAATGAATAATCGTTTGAAATGGATCTAATGAATAATTATTTGAAATTCATCTAATGAATAATCTTTTGAAATTCATCTAATGAATAATCTTTTGAAATTCATCTAATGAATAATCATTCAAAACTGATCTAATCAATAATCGAAATTGAGCTGATCAATAATCATTTGAAATTGAGTTAATCAATAATTGATCCATCCGCTTTTATAAGGTTATTATCCACATTGTTTGCGTAGCATTATTTTAAATGATAATCAATTCAGGCTTACATGGATTTGCTATTAATTATATGATACTTTTGATATCTGAGGACTTTTTTATTTTGTGTTTTTAACATTTTCAAGTGTAAATAATTTAATTAAATCAACCTGTCCATAATATCGTATTTCATGTATTCGACATGTAATAAACAACAACTGACCTCTTTAACCCCAACCACGCCTACTAATCTACCAGTATTAGTAACATAAGCATGATTTAATCCAAGTAGAGAAAATAATGAATGAACCTGAAAAAAAAAAACACATCAATATTCATGTATTCAAGACAATTATAACGATTTATTTAAGGACTGTATCTGTCTTTTGGGATATGACATATTAAATTAAATATGAAATGCATCAACTTGGTATACATTTGTTTTCAAACATACATATAATGTAATATACCTTATGTAATGATGTTCTCTCTACTAGTTGAAATGGAGCTGGATCTATCTGTACACCTTCCCACTGGATAGGTACCAACAATTGACTGTATTCCCATCTATCTTGCTATAAAATATATCACATAACAAACTACATTTATATAAATACTCACTATACGTTTATTTTTACACCATCCATGTTCAACAAAATTTAAATGGACAACGTAATCTGTATAACGGTGTGCCCTATTGAATATGTTGAGAAAGCTAGTCAAAATTTGTCAGTAAAATGGAATGGGATATGTCTAATTGTAAGCAATTAAAGTTCAACTTACCTCTTCCTTTGTTAAATGTTTAACACGAATAGGTTCTTGTGGCTGAAACAAATATTAAATAGATGTTAACATCTCCTAACTAAGGAATGGAGTTTTAATGTTTAATCTGTACCTTCCTACAATCATTTTCACACTAACATTATGTATATTTATGCCTACACTTTGTATATTGTAGCAATCTGATTAAAATACAGATGTATATTTGATGGCCTACACTACATGAAGATCTATTCATCTAACCAGTTGTACTGGTAGGTTGTGTCAGAGGTCGTACGAACGGCTTTTGACCCTATGACATCAGACATTGATTAATGAATCAGCATTGACATTTCTAGTGGTTAAACCACAGTTCCGTGCATCGCACACCAAGAAGTCACTGGTTTCATTGGCGAATCCCTCACGCCATCCAGAACACAGGTTACATAACAACTCTTCCAGATCCTAGTGTACTACAGACAAATAAAACAAAATTTTAAACTATAAAAAACGAAACGAAATAATTAGATTGTATAAGGTAGCAACCTACATTATAATTTAAAAGAATCATTTCTTGCTAGCATCAATTTTTTGTTTTAAAGGAATAGTATTGATATAATGACAACTCACCAATCTTACTTTCTTACATAAACTAGCCAAACTACCTTTCTGTAATTAATAAGAAAAAAATAAAACATGAAGAAAGTGAAAATAGCAGATAAAAAAATTCTAAAGAAAGTCACAAAATTCCAAATAAACTTACGCCAACAACACCACAAGCATATAGATTGTCCCAAACGACATAAATAAGTTTATTTCAAGTACTGCTATCTATTTGTTCCCACTATTTATAAGATTGTAATGTATAATCTTTAGAATACAGTAATCAAACAGACATTCATACACCAATTACTCACATAATAAAATCTTAGAAGCTAAGCTATTCAATATTACAATGCCATGTATCTTGTGAATGTAGCTTTAAAGAGATTATAACATGGCTGTTAATCTAATATACACCTTACCTTAATTATATATGGTCTATCTTCTACTATACTTTCTTTCCTTGTTTTAGATAATTTCTTATAATATTTATCTAAATCCATAGCAGCTACAAAATAAATACAAGAGTTTATCATATTGTTGTAAATATCACAATAATCATAATATAAGAAATAAGTAAACTTGAAACAAAGCATGTATAAACTATTGAACATAGGGTGTCTATCATTAATTACATCATAATTCTACTTGCACCTCTGACACAATATAGGCCTATTGGTGCTGACATGCCATTAAACACCTCCTCTGTTATGTGTACTGACAGAATGTAACAACTCAATTGTAATACTGTCAACTCGGAAATAAAATGAAATGGGGTTAATGTACGACATACTTGTCTGCAGAAACTGGGCTGATGAAGATGGGCAGCACCAAACTCACTGAGCCACCTTGTCCATTCAGAATGTTTGATATCATCAGAAAATGAAATAAGATTTTACCTTTTAAATCTCCAGTACTCGCCCTTCTCTTCATTAAATCGTTGTTAGAATTACTTTTTTTGAGTATAGATCTAACTGGTAGTTGTAGAGTATTATAATTATCAGCGGAACTTTCACTACCATCTAGTGAATCATTAGATGGCTACAAATACAATATATATATATATATATATATATATATATATATATATATATATATATAATGGGATTATCAGTAGGAGGATATGCTTAGAAATAGAACTAAAAAAGTTTGATATCTCTTCAAAAACAATACTGTCATTTTTAGACCCAATTTTATGTGTGCAATGTTGAAAAATTTTGCCCGGAGAGCGCATTTCTGCCTAGTGACATTTACATCCATTCTCTTCCAGATAAAAAGCTAAATGTGTAGTCATATAACACCTACCACTTTCAATAAATTCATTTGTATATTATTGTTACAAGCAACTGGAGATGGTGGAGCTTCTTCATTTTCTTCATCCACTTTAGTGACCAGAAATCTTGGGCGCACAGTTGATAAAGTGGTCTCTGATTCCTCGGTGATAGGACTTGGGGGATTCCCAAAATCAAATGGAGAGGCCCTACCTGATGGTGGACCATGATCATCATTAGAATCAGATAACATCACTTTTCTGTCATGACTTAAATGAAGCCAGAGAATTCTTTCCAATTCGTATCTTTGTATCGAACCAAGTAATATCATCGAGTCTGAAATACACAACAAAAATAATTCACATCGAACAACTTCTTCCCTTTTATGCAAATGAGGTTAGATTTGCATATTTCTATTTAAACATACATTATGCAAGAGCTAAATCTGCCAATTGCAGGTCTTTCTTTAGGCCTGAAATGTTATCTATACCATAATCCATACCATAATCAACTCTCGATGTCATTGCTAGACTGTGAGATTTACTGGATTATAATCCGATCTGCTGCTCAACACCCATGGATAATCAAGACTATGTTTTTCATTGTACTGAATTTAGTAATGACGATCGAGGCTAGGCCCAATATTCAGTCACTAAATTCTCGGTACAGGGTGGATCAATTTGACTGAAATTTTCAGCAAATTACTTTTACATTATCTAGTTTTAACTATTATAGTGAGAACTGCCAGCTCTATATCTAATCACCCATAATGTATCTTTTAACATTTTTATAATAAATAAATATATAGTGTCTTCAGCTGCATAAGCAAAAATAAAAATATAATAAAAGAATTAAAAAATCAAACTTGCAAAGTTCTTTTAGGCCAAATAGAAGTGAACTATATTTTAGCAGGAATTAACACAGTTGTGATTAGTCTGACTGCACTAATGTGTGTAATCTGGGCCTGTGGTGACCTATATCAGAGCAATATCACATTATCTGTACAAAGTTCAGGTAGCCAGAGTCTAGTTACTAGCCAACTAACAATAAGCTAATGGAACAAATTCTATAATACAAGATATTTGGCTGGTGCAGTGTTAATGATTCATTTTAATATTAGGCTGTGGTTAATTAATTATTTGTTTCTCATGACCCGCCCACATGTCCGTTTTCATCCGTAATAATTACGTACTTCCATAATTATTTGGTCAAATTTAGTAAGGTCCAAAATTTGTACTTTAAATCTGTATTTGTTTGCCATTAAATATGAACAATGAATTGACGCATTAAATTCACTATTTATCGATGAACATGACAGCGTGGGTGATAAGTAAAGCAGGCTAAAATGCGAAAAAATACTTGGAGTCCATCCGCAAAACAGAGTTGATAAAGCCGTATCATATCTGCCATCCATACCAAGGAATGGTAGCTACAACATTCACCAAAGACCACATATATACTCTATAAGGCACTTGTCATATTTGTAATAAAATTCACAGAAAGATATAAATGTCTTTTAATTCCTGCTAAATTATTTTATTTACTGACTAGCAACGGTCCCAGACCTGCCGCCATGAGATAACCTCGATCATGAGATACCGACTGGTTGACACTGCTTCACGCCTTTAACGGTATTTTATTCACAACACTATATAAACAGTCTCAAAAGGACACAGAGATACAAATAAATGTAAACAGTTTGATTAAGATAGACAAAATAATAAAAGTATTTATATTATCATGATGCCATGTGCTGATGATGGGTTCAAAGTTGACGACAATAAACATACGGGCTATTGCCATGGCATTGGTACTATCTTCCCTCACGGCTAGAGGAACAACGATGTGTGTAGTAAATTCTTTGACTGACCTGGTAAATAATCTAACTTATTTTGTATTTAAAAATCCAAGGGTATGTTTTTAATTATTTACGTCAGAACAAATCATCAACCAGTTTGAAACAGGTCATTTCATAACCTGTCAAAGTAGGGAAGGATAAAGAAATGAAATGCCAAGAATGAATGAATTAACGAACCGTTAACTTAGAAGCATATCACTAACAATTTAAACTTATTTATTATGATCAAGTCTTCCGATACCCAGCTATATTGTGCAACAGATATTTTAATCTATAAATATTTAATAAATGTGAATAAATTGCGGACACTGGTTACCGTTGGTTTTTCAACAACCATGTAACTGACATTAGTTATTGCTGAAATAGAAACTGCATTAAACTAAAAAAAATTAAATTTCATCTCAATAATTAATAATTACCGCATGTAGCATGTATATTTCACAAACTCAGGGCATGAGAAACTGACAATTAATTAACCGCGGCCTTAATACTGGCTTATTCCTTTTCTTCAGTGAAAAATGTTAATCATTAAACACAGTCAAGACATTCACCAATCTCACACCCAGGAATAGTTTACCCTTTGTTTATATCTGGGAAAACTCGCTGGCCATATGTTGGCCATTTTGAATGTCACATGATGTATCCTTCCTTCGGTTGCTTCACAAAGATCCAAGATGGCTGCTCAGAAATTTTGCGTATTATTTAGCCGAATCACTCACATTGTGCTCTAAAAATAGTTGCCGGTAAATCAAATCAAGATGTGGAAAATGTTCCAAGTATCATTAATATGTAACTCATGCAATGAACCAATGCCTAATTGTCGAGAAATTGGAAGCATTTCAATCAAACAAATCCAGTCAATCAGGAGCCACGGGGAGCCTAGGAACCGATTTAAAACTGATTAATGGCCGACGAGTTTTCCCAGATATAAATGAAGGGTAAACTTACTTCTGGGAGCCGAGATTGGACATTCACCTAATGAACATCTACATCAAGTTTACCTCAATTAAAAGCAGAGTTGTTATGTTCCAACATCTTGACCAATTGAATTGGATATCGCTACTTAGCCTAAGCAGAAAATTCTCAACATAGAAATTAATCAAGATATTGATATAATGAATCTATACTCAGCGTTTCCTCACTTTCACCCAACTAGAACCAAAATGAACCAAAATTATCATGTTCCAAAGTCTCAACCAATCAAATGGCTTATCTCTGCTTAAACTTAGTGGAAAATGTGCATGATCGAACTCTGTCAAGGCATTCACCTACATCAGACATATCCATTTTAATAGTCCCCTGCTTTCTTCAAAAGCTAGGGGACAATAATAAGCCAAAGTTCAGTACAAGGTGGGCCTTGGTAATAGTGACAAAAGCTTACCACTTTTAACTTGGTGGATGCTATATCACTGCCCTCATTATACAAAAATGGGTGCAGCTTATCACTGAATACTAAGGTATCAGTTAGGCAGAAATTAAAAAAGCATGCCACACCCAAAGAGTAAAGTTTGGAAACTAAAGGGGTTACAAGAATCATTCACCTGAATGGAAATATTTAATATGTGAAGTCCGATAAAGGTCTATCCTCTGCCACATTGCACATCCCAAAACATTTTTAACATCATGAAAATGCCACACTGAATAATAACAATATTAAACAATATAAGTACCTGAAGAATCAACTAATGGATAAGCTTTAAAATATGTAGACATCAATAGATCATGTAGTTCACCATATGTAAAATCAAAACTTATAAATTTAGCCTCATTAACCATAAAATCTTCTACAAATACTTTCCAGGTACTGAAATAAAGTAGATAATAACAATAAATGTGAGAATTGTCCACTACAGATAAACTAGGTCATTTCAAGAATGATATAATGTATTTGATTTCAATAAGCCACACACACAGTGTCTTTAGTAATTTTTTTTTTTTAATGATTATATTTATATGACTTACTTAGCTCCAGTAGAAACAATATCTGGTAAATATGGTAGACGTTTTAACTGTATAATACTATCATAGAATGATGGCTGTAATTTATTAGCTACGGCATTAGCTATTAACACCGATATCTATAACGAAACATACAATTATTAACATATATCAAGGGTGTAAATGAATCATTACATATATCTGATACCTTGACTGCAGTGGCCAGTGTTTTTGTATAACAGAAGCTATTTGAATGCAGGTGGATCACACTATAAACAGTGCTCAAGTTTTGCATTTGGACAACTAAGGATTGTATTATACAAAATATTTTGGTATCTGGCACATGTTGCAATATACTGACATCATTAAGGTGGCCTACCTGATAATGTCATAGATTTATAAGTGCAGTCCCTCTTGACATTATTATATTGCCTTTGTTTGTACTAATTTGCAGTTGTCAAATGTCATATAAATTAAAGGCAACGGTAATAATATCATAAAAATCCAATCTGATTAAAATACAGATCTATATTTCGTTTCGTTTTTTAATACTTTCGATGGCCTACACTACATGAAGTTTTGGGAGGTCGCATCAGAGGTCACATGAGCGGCTTTTGGCCTCAGACATTTGAATAACCAATGAGCATTGATGTTTCTAATGGATTACCCACAGTTCCGTGCACCTCACGCCCAAAGCTCGCTGTGACAGACCGTTTCATTGGCTAGTCCCTCACATCATCCAGAACATGACAATGATAACAACTCTTCCAGATCCTAGCGTAGTAAAGACAAGTAAAACGAAATTTTGAAATATAAAAAATGAAACGAAATAGGATCTTTGTTTTAATCAGATTGATAAAAATCTACCTTACTTTCATAGGTGCATTGCTCCAAGATGTTAAATGTCATGTAAATTGAAGAAAATGAGAGTAATTTTTAAAAAAAATTACACCTGTACCTTCCACAGTTTATAGTGTTATTGATTCTAAACTTTCTGATAATCAAAATATACATTCGCTATTACGTAAAATTTCAAACACACATATATCAATACCAGGATGTTTTAAAGAAAGTGACTTACAACAGCAGGTAAAACATGACTGATCTGTCCTGTTAATTCAAATACAATAACAGATGTTGATATAGTCCGTGTAACACTACCAGACAATGATGCAGCACCTAAAATAACAATATATACAACCATATTAAGCTATTTGAAGTCTCCCTTAAAATAGAAAAAGATATATCAAATACTGTTACTCAGAAAATAACATCCATTTATATACAATTATTTTGTAATAAATAACGAACTAACCCACAACTGCGTAACCACCAGGAACAATTTTTCTTACAATATCCCCAGATCTTATGCCTGCTGGAAACCATGCTGCCATGCTTTCTCCAACCAAACGACCAAATGCAGCACCTACAATTTTTAAAATATTCTAAACTTGTATTCAAGTTAATATGTAGAACATTTTCACAAGTATTTTCAAACCGTATAATTCTATCGTGTCTTTTAACTTATAATGATAAACATACAAATCATTGGGCAATCAAAACAAACAAACTGTAATAATTTGTATTACTTCAGCTTTGTTCATGAAAATGGGGTCCCAGTAAAATCAGGTGAAGCAATTACTAGTGTTAAAGAGACAATAACACTCTTGCTGGCTTGAAAGCTCCAGAAAATAAATAATATCTCTATCTAAGTACTAGATGTTTAAGTATCCTACCTGTTGTGTAAATTATCCATTACATCCTATTTTACTTGTCCAGAGGGTTCGAAAATATTTTTAAATTGAAGTTTCATTTGAAAAGGTTTACGTTAGACGTTTCAAACCATTATGTTGAATTTTTCAAAAATTTTAAATAAGGTGTGTTAAGATGAAATTTGTATCATCAATTAATTGAAATATTGTAAAATAGTACAATTTGTTGACCAGAATAAAGATTAGGACATATTATTCTGTTACAACAAGAGTGGTATTGAGCCTTTAATCAATAAATTTCAGAAGCAACCAGACCACAAGCAACAGCAAGACACCATTATTTCAATACATAGTTCAGAAATATTTCTAATAAATATCAATACATTTTTCATTTTCTTCCATTTCATGCCCACAATAGGTAGAGTTATCTCCCCTTAGACCACAAACAGCAAGACCCCCATAGACTGGATAACCTGCTCTAATACGTCAGACTCGCTCCTACGTCACTCCTTTTCTGACTTGCATATAGAGACAGGTAGTGGGCAGCCATGTTTTGACGTAGTGTTACTAAAAATAGACGGGTATCCCTAATGATGGCGTTCAGCGTTAAAATGAGTAAGCTAGAAGATTTGTTAATCTTTTCTTTAATGTCTAAGATTGCTCTAGCCAAATTAAATGTTGATCGTGCGACATCTTATTGTTATCTTAAACCCAAACAAAGCAACAGTTTAAAATCAGCTCTTATAATAATCAGATACAATCGTAGGCCTACCGGCTACGGCAAATCGCTCATATTTCATTTGATTTCTTTCCGTATTTCTCAAATTCCAAAATATTAATTATTGTTAAGTTAAATTCCATTATTGAGAAAAAATTGCACAGTTTCGGCTCTAATCCACAAGCTAAAAATAAACTACTGCTGCATTTAATTGCTGTTGACATCTTTATTGCATACTTCAGCGTCCGATCATGTTTTTGTTTACATTGGTAATGTGCACAGAAAGAGATGCGCACTGCCGGGAGGAATTCCTCCTGGCAAGATGGCTGCCCGCTACCTGTCTCTATATTGAATCAGAATAGCGCAGTGACGTAGGAACCAGTCTGACGTCATTTAGAGCAGGTTGTCCAGTCTACAAGACACCCCCCCCCCCATTACTAACAATGTACTTACCAACAGTAAAAACTGGTACAAATATACCAGCAGGAATTGGTAATGTATTAGCTAACACACCATTTATAAACTAGAATAAAAAAAAGACAATTAATTAATGCTAAAAGTTATATTTCATGAAAAGTATGATGGCCATTACCAAGCCAGCATCAAACATAGTAATGGAACTAGAAATATCTTTACAGTATCAAATCTATGCATTTTAATGTTTGCCCAATTCTCATAAATATAAATGTTTTGATTTGTTTTGGTATAGAAAAGACAACTAAGTAAACATATTGATGGGTCAATAATAATTAATAATATGGTGTAAGAAAAGAATAATAAGGCAGATAAACTTACAGTCATGATAATAAAAAATACCAAAGTCACATACATATTAGTAAGTGGATGATGCCAATGACTTAATATAGCTTCATCATCTAAATCATCAGCTTGTCCTGTTGTCCAAGTTATATTACTAAATAATTCATTTACAGCCTGTCGGCCAGTTAACTAAAAAAAAATAATTAAAAAAAAAAAAAAAAATGAAAATATTCAAATAATTAACAGAATATTGAGATGAATACTTTGGAGACACAAAATAGGTTGATTACAAGTTAACTTAGAGAAACATTCTGTAGATCATCATTTTCTTGTAAACATTATTTCAGTTCCTAATTAAACATAATACAAACAAGTAGACATGAATCAAGTTATAATTATAAATTATGTAGGGTCTCACCTGTCCAGCAAAAAACTGTCCGAAACCAGGAGGGAATGTAAGAGTAGATATCAATAAGGCAATAAAACCAGGATATATAAAACGACTGAAAAATACAATTCAATTATAAACATATCAATCAACTTTACTCCATTTATATCATTAAACCATCTAAACGCAAATATACTGCAAATCAGCAGTATATTTAATCTTCAGATTAAAGCTGAAGAATTCTTCAAATTGTAATATGGCTTGTATTACAATATGCAATTAAACTGTTACATTGGAAGTGATTAACAAAGAGAGAGAAAGAGAGAAATGGGGTTTAACGTCCACTCGACACAAACTAGGTCATTTTGGGACTAACACATGGTTCAATTTTATTTCAATAATTTGCTCGCGTGTAGGGGTCTTTAGCAGAGGGAGGAAACCGGAGGACCCGGAGAAAACCCACAAGGTTGGACAGGCGACCCTACTCCTTGTCACGTACAACCAGGAAATCGAAACCACGCCAGTTGACTCAATGACAGGCCTTGTGCCAACCATTCAGCCATCCAAACCCCATGATTAATAAACACTGAATAATCTTTACTACTGCTGTACTTGACTTACTTTTTCTGTAAAAATGTAGATAATCTTTTTCTTTTACGAGTAAATAAAACAACTTTTCGATGTGTTACAATAAACAGAGCTCCACCAAAACCACAGGCAACACTGAAATTACACAATTATAATTATTTCCCTACAGAGCACAACTTACTAATCCAAGTATATGGGTGATGGTTTTAGCATGATGCATTATTGTCTTATTTGATGTGCTCGATCGCTAAATACCACTTAAGGAATACAATAATTCCAAGAAGAATATCAGCTTGTAAAAAGCCAACAGTGAGGCTGAAGTCCCCCGCCAAAATCCCAAAATAAATAGATGACACATAATAATTAATCGCACATTTATTTTTTTCAAAAGTATCGAGCAATCAAACTATACACTAAGTTTCATCACTCTCTATCAGATAGAATCAAGATTATTTTGTCCCAAAGCATCGACCAATGAAATTGATTAGCTCTGCTTAGCTTTAGCTCGAAATATTAATCATTGAACTCAGTCAAGAAATTCACCTAATGAACATCTACATCAAGTTTAAACATTCTACCTCAATTAAAATTGAGTTGTTATGTTCCAAAGTCTTGACCAATCAAATTGCTTATCGCTCCTTAGCCTAAGCAGAAAATTCTCACCATCGAACTTAGTCAAGGTAATGAACGCCTACACCAAGTTTGAACATTCTACCTCAATTAGAAGGAGAGTTATTGTGTTCCAAAGTCTCGACCAATCTAATTGCTTATTGCTCCGCTTACCCTCAGCAGAAAATGTTCATTATCAAACTTAGTCAAGGTATTGATGTAATGAAACTATACACCAAGTTTCATCTCTCTCACTTAATTAGAACTAAAGTTATCATGTCCCGAAGCATCAACCAATCAAATTGCTTATCTCTGCTTACCCTAAGCAGAAAATGCTCATCTTCGAACTCCATCAAGGCATTGATCTAATACACACCTACACCAAGTTTGAACACTCTAGCTCAATTAGAAGGAGAGTTATTGTGTTACACAGTCTCGGCCAATCAAATTGCTTATCGCTCTGCTTACCCAGTGTTCCCGCGGCTTCGTCAAACATTTTTTCAAGGATATTCAAGGATAAATATACGTCAAATTCAAGGATTTTCAAGGACATTTTTTAGCCTACAGTTACAATTTTTCATCTTAAAAATAACCAAAACATTTCCAAATATCGTTATAATCTCATATTTAAAAGGAATTGAAGACATTTGAAACAAAATTAAGGATCTCAACTGAAATTCAAGGATATTTTCCTATTTCCGCGAAATTCAAGGATATTCAAGAACTCGAAAATGAAATTTTAAATTTAAGGATATTCAAGGATTTTCAAGGACCGCGGGAACCCTGTTACCCAGAGCAGAAAATGCTCATTAGTCAAGGTATTGATGTAATGAAACTATACACCAAGTTTCATCACTCTCACTTAATTAGAACTAAAGTTATCGTGTCCCAAAGCATCAACCAATCAAATTGCTTATCTCTGCTTACCCTAAGCAGAAAATGCTCATCTTTGAACTCCATCAAGGCATTGACCTAATAAACACCTACACCAAGTTTGAACATTCTAGCTCAATTAGAAAGAGAGTTATTGTGTCCCAAAAGGTGTGATGGACAGACAGACGGGCGGACAGACAGACAGATGGACGAACCTATTTTAATAGAATGATTAATTAGATAGGTACTCACCCTATGGCAGCAAAAGCTATCAATTCTAAAGGATCAAAAGGGAACTCGGTGCGTAAACTGGTTCTAAACAGTGCAGTGATTGTTTCTGTAATAAAAAAATGATCCTGTCATTTGGCTATACGACTTATGACTGACATTTTCCAAAATTTCACCTTACATAGCTCATCTTTGATCATACAAATACAACACATCATTATACATCTGCATCAAGTTCCAAAGAATTTTAATTGCTTTTTGTACACTGATTCTGCATGCCCTCAAGGGACACAAGAAATATTCAGTTTTTGTACTAGTTTACTGAATTGCCAATATATTTCATAAAATGTTATAAAACCTCAGAAGATATAATCAGAATATTCTTCAGAAAAACATATATTAATATTTGTATTTGTCAGGCTTTAAAGAGTTAATATAAATTTTCTAGGCTGTCTTTCTTTTATTACATCTTTTTGAAAACATGTTTATGATAATTTCGATAACATAAGTAAACTCTCTTTACATAAACACACTTGTATTTATACTATAAAACTTTTGAAGATTTGTTATCTTACCTTCATCTTTAAACCAGAGAGCAAGAAGACGAAATACTAACGCTCCACATACAGCTGAGAAAAAACCTCTCCAATAATTACGTACAGCAAAATATGTAGCTGTTACCTCTATACTGAATAATACACCTGAAATATGTATTCAATCAAAAGTTGTTTAATGGCTAGCTCCACAATTTCTAAGCTATTTTCTAAATATGTGCCATGAGGAGAATCAAGGACAACAGAATTTGCACTAGTAATCTACTTTCACCACACAGGACCTCTCTTTTTGTTATTTGAATCATTGAGATACATTCTCATCTGTCATGAATTCTCTCAGACATCAGTTTACTGCAATGGATAACAAAATAAAGTATTGCAAGTTACATACCACCAATAGGAGCAGCAAATGTTCCAGCCACACCCACAGCACATGCTGCAGCTAACATTTCTGATCTTCGAGATTCATTCTAGAATACAAACAAAAATATTTGAGTGAAACACTTCTGATTTTAATACAATTGTTGATTCAAACTGAACCAGTCATCATATGGTTCATAATTGGGAGATACTAATCTATAAAAGATGCATTATATAAAGAGATGACAGTTCTCTCTATAATAGTTTAAAAATAGACAATGAAAAGGGAATATGTCGAAAATTTCAATCACATTACTTTATTCTCAGCAGAGTTGATGTCATTTGAAGAACAGTGTAGTATAATTGTCATTGCTACCATAGTATTGATTATCCACTTTTTAAAATTAAATTATTAACTAGCAATCGTGTTTAAATCCGTTGAAAATCAAAAGAATTTGATGGTCTAAACTGTTGATTATGGGCTTGGCATGTGAATAAATGTCTAATTGATGATTTATATAACATTTGAAGTTTTTTTTATCCCACTTATAAAATCTTTATTTCTAAATATTTTATACTCGTCATGCTTACCTCATATATACCTCTAAATGATGTAAGTAATTTACTAAGTAATGTAGCTACGATACTGGCAATATGTACAAATGGTCCCTGAAATTAACACATCTATATAGTATATTATTATTGATTTATTTATTTCTTAAAGAATTGTCCTCATCTACCTATAAATATGGTTTGGTTTGACTTAAAGTTGAAAATACCTGATTTAAAATGGCAATAAACTTTCACCAAGTATGTCACATTTCATAAAAAAAACCCAGTATATAACATTCAATTGTATATTAACTAGGATTGTCAGCCTTGACTAGGAGTGTTGACAAAGCTAAGCTTATATATTGAATTATAATTTATATTTCCAATTATAACAGGTCAAGAGCCTCTCAACAGTTTTCACATAAATTGCAAGTAATGTGAAACAAAATAATTTTGCTTACATTAACTATACTCTTCAAAAAAAGTAGGGGATATTCAGAAACAATATAAAACTGCGGAAATGCACTGCTGTTTTTTTATTAGAGGTAACCAGTGTACGTTAATAACAGGCCAATTGCCTACATATGAACATAAACAGTTCATATGGGCGGCTTATCTGACGGCCCCATTTCACTGTCAAAAGTGAAAATGGACGTTTTTGATTTTTGTCTTAATAATGAGTAATTACTCCACCAATCCTCAGACATTCAGCAATTCGTCGTGTCATGCTCCTAATCAACCGTCCAATTACAATTTCGGGCAATCCGACCCCCTCCTCTTGCAGTGCCTCGGCCAATTCTTGCAGTGTTGTCGGTAGACGTTGACGTCGACAAACACGTCTCCAGATCAAAATTAAACATAACACACTAAAGCAAAGATATGTTAAACAGTAAATCTTATGCAAGAACGGATAGGAAAGCAAACATGGATAGGATAAACCAGTAAACGGCAGTTTTCATCAACCCTTCCTTGAAGTGTCAAATTTGACAAGGAACCCCTCCCACGTGTATGGTGCTATTGTGTGTTGCACATGCAGCTCAATGGTCTTGAGGGTTCGATAAGTTCTTCATCTGTGAACATACTCTCAAAGCATGTCAAGTGTCCATGACTTTATCATATCACAACCTGCATGGGTATTTGCATTTCAATATACCCTACTTTTTTTGAAGAGTATATTTTGTTAACAGCACATGTTTACACTGTAAAGGATTTAGCCATAAAACCTATTTGGAATGCAAATATATACAATCCTTATATAATCATATAAGAGGTAACAAGGCGTCGTTAAATGTGCACATTTGTCACTTCTGTCAACAAGCACATTTCTCACTAGGTGTAAGTTTGAAATTTTCTAACGAATAACTATCCTCTGAAGCATATCCTAAGTAAATAAGCTCGCATTTTGCAAGAGATGGACAGAAAACAAGCTAAAATAGCGCTTTTTCGTACAATCTGGGATCATAATCCAGGATGTTAAAAGTTCCACATGCACCAATATCAAACAGTAACTTCAAGTTATAAACATACATTTTAAGTTTCGTCAAATTTGATTAAAAATTGTGACCTCTAGACAGTCTACAAGCAAAGAACACATATTTGCGTACAATCAGGGGCCATAATCCATTCAGTTACAGTACAGCACTATACATGCCAATATTGAAAGGAACCAAGTTATTGGTATATAAGCCTACATTTCAAGTTACATTAAAACCGGATAATGAGAGCATTGCTAACGCTGCAATATACGTCAACAATCTTGCTTTGATTGATATGGAACTTTTTAAAATGACAAGAATGAAATATATGGCTGTAATATGACAAGAGGCAAAGAAGGTTAGGCGTTGGGTTTGTTTTGCCAAATTTACAGAAAAAAATATTAACATAAAAGTGGGTGTGACACCACCCCAGGGGGTCGGGGTATGCACCATACAAATAGTTGCTGTCCCAACATCAATAGTTGCCGTCCTTAGGGTATAAGGAATAAGTATACCAAGTTCCAAGATAATTCATTCAGAATTGTGGCCTTTGGGCACTTAAGGCAAAAATTGAGCGTGGCTCTGCCCCTGTGGGTCGGGACATTCACCAAAATCAATAGTTGCCGCCCTTAGGCTATAAGGAATACATATACCAAGTACCAAACTGATCCATTCAGAATTGCAGCCTGTAAACGATAAATACAAAAATTGAGCATCGCTTTGCCATTGGGGATCGGGACATGCAGTTGTCGTCCTTAGGCTATGAGGAATACATATCCCAAGTTCAAAGATGATCCATTAAGAATCGTGGCCTGTAGGCAACGCACAGAGACACAAAGAAAAAATGGGCGTGGCTCTGCTTCTGTGGGTCGGGCAATCACCAAAAAACAATAGAGGTCATCCTTAGGGTATAAGGAATAGGTATGCAAAGTTTCAAAAGGATCTGTTAAGAATTGCGGCCTGTAGTTGAAACACAAGACACACACAAATTGCTTGTGGCTCTGTCTCCGGGGGTCGGGCATGCACCAAAAATAATAGAGGTCAGCCTTAGGGTATAAGTAATAAGTATGAAAAGTTTTCAAGATGATCGATTAAGAATTGCGGCCTGTAAGTGATACAAACACAAAAAGAAAATGGGTGTGGCTCTGCCCCTGGGGATTAGGCATTCACCACAAACAATAGGGATGTTCCTTAGGATACAAGGAATAAGTATGCAAAGTTTCAAGATGATACGTTAAGAAATGTGGCCTGTAGATGACAAACAAACAAATACAAGAAATGGGCATGGCTCTGCCACTGGGTGTCGGGCATGCACCAAAAACAATAGGGATCATCCTTAGGGTATAAGGAATAAATATGAAATTTTTTCAAGACGATCAATTAAGAATTGTGGCCTGTAGGCGACACACAGACACACAAAAAGAAAATGGGTGTGGCTTTGCCCATGGGGGTTGGGCATGCACCACAAATAATAGGGAAATGCGCGTTGCTCTGCTCCTGGGGGTCGAGCATGCACCAAAAACAATAGGGATAATCCTTAGGGTATAAGGAATAAGTATGTAAAGTTTCAAGATGATCACTTAAGAATTGCGGCCTGTAGGCAACACACAGACACACACAGACAGGGGCGATAGCAATATACGTCCACATTCATATGTGGACGTATAAAAATTGTGAAGGGTCCATTGAAAATTTTGAAGTGGGAGCCCTGGTCCACAACCCTGTGGCCGAATCGGTCCAAAATTCTAACTCAACTGTAATTAGGGTATAACAGTGATATAAATGAAACTTAAAATCAAATAAAAATGGTGACCTCAGGGTCCATAAGCTAAAAATGTGATTTTTGTACATGAGGGGCCATAATCCAGGAAGTTACTGTCCGATATGTGCTAATATCGAAGGTACGGATATCTGTGAAATATAAATATATACTTTAAGTTTCATCAAAATCAGATAAATATTGTGAGCCCTGGAGGGTCTACAACCTTGGTATTACATACTTTTTGCGAATGTGGTTGTGTCCATTTTATCGGGCAGTTTCTGTCCAATTTTCATGAAATTCAAACTCAACCGTCATTAACGTGTAACAGTGATATACTCGGACTGTTTTTAAAATCAAATCAAAATTGTGACCTCTAGAGGATCCACAAGCTAGAAAAGTGATTTTTCAAACAACAAGGGTTAATAATCCAGGACGATAGATTCGATATGTGCCAATATCCAAAGGAACAGAGATCTTCTGGTATATATTATAAAAATACATTTTTGGATAAATTGGATAAAAATTGTGACCTCTAGAGTGAGAACAAGCTAAAAACATGATATTTCATACAATCAGAGCCATAATCGATTTAGTTACGTTCTGATACATGCTAATATCGATGGGATGTAAACCTATACCAAGTTTCATCAAACTCAAAGTCGGATAAAAATGGGACTGGATGGGTGTATGAATGGACAAAGGTAACGATAATATACGTCCACGTGAATATGTGTTATTAAGTAACAAACATAAATGATTGAAAATGCTCCTCATCAAACTCAGTTGAGACATTCAACTAATGAATATTCTACCGCATATAGAATCTGAGTTATTGTGTTCTAAATGGTGTAACGGAAAGGCAGACAAATGGTCAAACCTATTTTATTAGCCTCTTGCACTCTCCAAAAGTCCTAGGAAAATAAAGTATGATTAAAGGGGAATTCTAAATTTCAAAGTATTATTATAAGGAAGGGAATTCTACTCTTCACAAAGGCTGATTAGCAGGAAATTCTACAATTCACTAAGGATGACTAGCAAGGAATTTTACACTTCACAAAGGATGATTAGCAGGGAATTCTACAATTCACTAAGCTTGATTAGCAAGGAATTATTCACTTCGCAAAATGATTAGCAGGGAATTCTACATTTCATAGAGGATGAATAGCAATGAATTCTACACTTCACAAAAGATGATTAGCAAGGAATTATACACTTCATAAAGGATGACTAGCTGGGAATTCTAAACTTCACAAAGGGTGATTAGCAGTGAGTTCTAAACTTCACAATTTTGAGTAGCAGTGAGTTCTAAACCCTATAATTAATATTATTAATTATAATAATAATGCTTGTTTTACGGAAATCCTAAATTATATAAAGCACAATTAGGAGAGAAGTCTAAACTTTATAAATGTAGGGCAATATAAAGTTTAGAAATTGGGGGAAAAGCTACGGGAATGATAGTTGATTCTAAGGTGTAAGCAACGTGAAGGGAATAAATCTGAGCAGAATTTGTGTTTTAATGTTTTTCACTTTGTCCAATAAAGAGTTTTATCTATTCAGAATTGAGATTTTGATTTGTTGTGTTACTGAAATAATATAGAAACTACATGTAGCCCTCTTTACACTAAATGGAATAAAAATTAAACATTCATGTAAATCTACCTTAATATTTGTTATCCAGTACATAAAACATCCTCTATATCACTGGATAAAAAAATCTGACAGCTACCGGCCAGTCACAACATCAATCAATTTGAACAATGGAAAACCTGTCATATATTTATGATGAATGGACTGACAGCTGACAAATATAAAATGAGTACCTGTAAGATGTACAACTTATGTCTTATCATGTATTGATTATTGTTATTATGAACAAGAATTGATTGATTAGGATTCACTGTTTAGGAAATGTCAATGATGGAATAAAATGTGTTCAAATATTAATGTCAGTCTAAATAAATCAAAGTTCAAATTTACAAATATTCCAAAGTCTAATAAAATTTCATTTTTAACAGGTATAATTATAAGCACAAATAATAACTTGCAGGTCTTAGGAACTGTGATTTGAAAATAAATATCCCTTAAAAAACATGCATACAATTAATGTGACATCAGACACTGTATATTTTTAATTCAGAAGAATAACACTTTGTTGGTCTATTTGTGATTTAAAATACAGTTTCCATAATACAGACTGTCAGCAAATCTTTTTGCCAACAGCTATACGATATCAAAGTTCTCAATATTTTATTTTAGCATAAATTTGCATAATACGCGTATATCTTTAAATCATACAAAGGCGTCTTTTATCTAAAAATGTTTAAAGAAACAATCGTACATAAATATCAAAGATCTATATGTACATGACTGTAGGCAATAGCCATATGTTAGGACAGTAGGGCAATGGTAGTTATGTTTGATTGCAAAAGTGGAAGCAATGTGGTACCGAATAGTCATGTGATTGGGAGCTAAAGTATTCAAATATGAATGGCCACCCAAACGAGAGCATTTTTATCTATAATTACATAAGGCTTGATGGGATCACTTTTGATAAAGTCAAAATGATGTTGATATCTAGATATAACTATTTGAAGTGTTAATAAAAAGATGTTTTTGTTTTTATATCTTTTTGTTCTATTAACTATTGTGCCGCACGTTAAAGCCTGTCGTATATGAGCAAAGAAAATTTAACAACTTTCTTTGACGGTCTCTTCAAATTTTCTTTGACCGTATACGAAGCCAGCAATTTATTTGACGGCCTATCGTACACGAGCATAAGTTCCAAATCTTTGACACATTTATTTGACAAAAAGCTATGCATGCCAGCTTTTGTCAAATCTCATATGGCAAATGAAAATGTGGCAAATTTCCTCTCGTACAGGAGCAAATTTCTTTGAAAAATCTCCATTTGTCAAAGAAAATTTGCTCGTGTACGACGGGCTTAAATGTGGGCATATATAAATATTATGAGGGTAAAGCAATCTTAACGATATATATACATCATACATTGACATACATACATGTGATATATGTAATTAGGATGACATATGACCTCCAGTGACCTTAATGTCACATTGGCATTGAGATTAACAACAAAGTTCAAACTGCCAATAAATAATATTTTCTTAACAATAAATTATAGTAACACAGGTACAAGATGTCTTCCTGGCAAACATCGCATCATATATAATTTAAAATCTACTTTATACTACAGTCTTAAGTTTAATCCATCCAAATCGACGTCTCATGCTTAGATGAAACGGGAGACTAACATTCAATAACTTGAGTCATCTATTGAACACTTGAAATGTACACTTGAAATGTCTAATGAACAAGAAGAAAAATAAATTGTAGCTGAATATCGATAGGGTTCGTCCTCTGATAACCTCAACGTTTCTCACCAAATTTGAAAAAGATCTGTCAAGAAAAATAAATTGTAGCTGAATATCGATAGGGTTCGTCCTCTGATAACCTCAACGTTTCTCACCAAATTTGAAAAAGATCTGCCTTCACAAATCAATCGTTGCAGGGCGGACTGTAAACAAAAAAAATGTAGCTTACCTCTTTTCCAAGTGGCAGCGTACTGCCTAGTGAGGCACACAGGCCAACTACTTTAGCTATGAGAGTGCGGAATGTCAAATACTCCTTTAATATTACTCCACGTAAAATAGTTTTCATTTCAGGGATACCAGATCCTACAAATAAAATAACATTCATCATTTTAAATGAGCATTAACATTTTTTTATTGTTTGCCAGTCCTCTAAGAAGCAATGTGCAAATTAATGCATCAGAAATTTAGATTCTCATGTCTAAACCTCCCAATTTTTTTAGAAAACATGGTTCAAACAACTTGGAATGATATTTATTTTTGTAATCCTAACTTCTTACCGGTATTCTTCTTATGTTCTCAGTTAAATCAATTCATAAGAAGAGTATAAGACAAAGTCCAGATGACCACAGCAAGATAGGTTGACAAGTTACAAAACATAATGCCAACAGCAGCTAAACTATCCAAGCTGGTCATAAAGGTAGCTACATTGTGATTCTTTACGTAAATAAAAAGCAAAATCTCTATACTGTAAAATATTATATTTGACTAGATTCTTCGACTTACTCAAGCACAATAACTCAAATCATAATTTTTTGTAATCTGATGAACTATTTATTGCATTAATCAAAAGAAAACATAAATTCAATGCACATAAGATGATGACTTTTGATTTAAAATATGAGAGACTTTGTTGTTTTACTAATCTAAATAATGCAAACAAATCAGTTGTTAAATTTTAAGAGTGTTATCAGAAATACATACAGTCATCTTAAATCTTAAAAGAGTGATCACAAGAAATGGACAGATCAACATTCTAAGGTGACAACAATATATTACTACACTTCAATGTTGGTATATAAAAGAGCTTAGATTGTTTTGTGAAAAAATATAGGGAGTGTAAACTGTAAAGTTTATGAACAGCTTATTATCAATGACTGCATGCATAAAAGACAAGCCTATTCACTAATTAACTGGCACATCAGTTCAGTCTTTCCCCTTTGAACAGTATTAACATTAGCCACTTCATAATACTAATAATTAATGCCTTTTGCCTAGAGAATTACATATACAGTGTATGCTGGTTTATATATATATATTTAAAGATTGCCTATTGTCTATTCTGTAGGCGTAGGTCATCAATATTGATATCTTTTTACCTCTGGTTAACGAATGTATTTATGCTATAACTGCTACAGGCTATATATTTATAGTCCTGACAGAATAAATTATGTTTAATAGATGTATAAAATAGTTACATGGGCTATATGACCATGTACTTAATCACGTCACAATCTTTAAAATACCTCATCCATGACATCCTAACCTCATGTAAGAATTAACACCCTTATATTTTAACCATTACTACTTATATAGTCTCAGTGGATTATTTAGAAGGGCATGTGGCCTTGTTAGGGTGGGTGTGTGTAAGGAGGTGGAGAGGGGCCTAACAACCTACATCCAATAATGAGTGGACTTAATTAACCCAAGCTGAATCTTTTTTTCTTATTTAACAATCTATTATGTATGTTTTGTTGATTCAATCCTGTGGAAAACCTAGATATATTCTGACTAGTTTTACTACATGATCACACTGTACTCTTGATGACTATGAGAAATATGTTTAAAAATAAAGGCAACAAACTCTATCTGACAGGAAGTAATGAAATGACCATTTCTCATTCATATAATATTAATAATATAGAGTGTTTTGAATATCTAAGAAAACTAGACCAGATCAAAAGCAAATATGACATTTTAAGCTGTTATTTGTATCAGCTGTTGGTAGTATAAAAGTTGTTTATTAAGTTTTATTAGTATATTTATATACATATATACCTACCTATAGCTTGTGGTGAAACAAGATGTGTAAAACCTGTGGCAAATAATATAAATAACACAGAATACGACATCCATGCAAAGTACTGTAATGTAACAGAAAATGCCAATTCTTGATATAACCAAAATTTAGCTGAAATATAAAATTATGTTAAAGCATGATTCTTTCATTAAGAAATCAACAAATAATTTCATTTGAACAATTCCTTACAGAAAATCTAAACTAGAAAACTATAGTACAGACATACAAATGCCAAACAGTTGGCAATTGTAATTTATCCATGTCTTATGTACAACATTACGTAACAATTTTTGGGATTTCACACTAACCACCAGCTTCAGAGAATGGGATGTGTCAAATGAAAATATCCATCAAGTACCGGCATGTGTTGCAGTAGTGAGAGAGAGAAATGGGGTTTAACGCCCAATCAACACAAGCTGACTGATTAATTTTGATAATGAGCGTCCAATTTACAAGTGTTTAATTTCTTGATCACTTGTAAATTGGACACTCATTATCAAAATTGAATGGTCAGCTTTAAACTGGACACAAGTACAAATTAGATGATTTTTGGTGATTTTAAACGATTTTTACGAATGTGAAAGAAATTAGTGCTAAATACACAAGGTTAAACGATACCTTTCATGGACTTGTATAATAAAGAGAATCAACAGATTCTGATATTTTATTAAAGCTTAATAAAGTCTCTGATCTTCATTTGAGGTATTTTGAATATCAGTCCAAAAATAGTTAATTCCGTTCAGTATTTAAACGTGATGAATTGAAAATATTTCAGCATTCACTACCCGCAAAACAAGCCATCGGCAACTCAGAATGTTTCCAATGGAATTTTTGATCCAATCCAACTGAATACAAGCTGGGAGATCATTTACCTTTGATACTTTGATTTTTTCTAATGACCAATTTGATGGAAAATTAGATAGCATCTTAGAAATGCAAATGACTAACAGAGACTTTAAACAAAAAGCAGACAACAAGTTTATCATATCAAACATAATGGGCCTTTAAAGTTTAAGATTTATTCTATAACTGAGACAACAACATAAATAAATAATTTGACATGAACTTATTGTGCACCCCAAGAATAAGGAGTGACAGTTATCTGCTGTTTATCACTGAGTGTGTAATATAAACAAAGAATTGAGGCCTGATTCACACCAATAGGCCATTGCTCTCATACCATGTTAGTGTTGGTTGTTAGTGAGGTCAAATCTTTGCAACAGCATATCAATTTATATCACTATGTCATTACATTAATACTAATTAGGTTATTATGTCAATAGGACTAAATAAATCATGATCTACGAATTCATAACATTTTTTACATTACCAATTAATCAGATAACTTTGAGCATGTAACATTTACAAATAGAGCCTTGGTCAGCTCATAGTTATAAGTTAAAATGTTCAATAACAATTATTTACATGTACCTTTTCATAAAATATAAAAGAATTTCAGTATTACCTTCTTGACACTTTTCTATAATAAAATCCATACTAAAACTAAGTAATGCCATCAATATACCAAGCAGAGCCAGAAATAACCAATCTTCTCCAATCTTGGAAAACACAAAATTCCTTGCCCGTACACATCCCGCTATAATATTTAAATAAAGTATATATATATTACCTATTTAGTTATTTTAGTTGAATTTACATAAAAAATTCACCCACATGCACAGTTTTTCTGTTGGATAAAGCCTGTTTTCATGCAGACATTTTAAAAATCTACATATCTAAAAATAAAATACCAGTAAGCTTATTGTTTTTATTGTGGAATTTTAAAACACCGATTGAGAATGATTTGATTTTGTTGTAAAAATATTTATTTGTTTTAAATCTGTTATTGTTGGACCTTTCAGCAGCAGTTTCCGGCCATATCAGCATTTAAATGTAGATATTGTGGGCATTGTAAAATCCACTCAATATCTAAGCCATCTAATGGTCTATAGAGTTGATTATGGGCTTGTCATTTGAAGAAATGTCTTAAATAATCATTTATATAACATTTGAAGCCAGAAGGCAAACATGTGATTGTAATTTCTCAACCAGTAAGTATTAAAAAAAAAAACTTACAATATGCCAAAGTACTACCAAAAAGTTTTTCCTTCAAAGTAATCCTTCGGAATCAAATAGAAGCAAACAAATTCTGGCCTGTGATTGCAATCTTCTAAATGAACATTACTGGTAAAATACCTATTTCATGTTAAGTGTAGCTTCTTAACTTTTTAAAACAATGGTAGGGAAATTATATTCTTTTGAATTATTCAAAAATATCAGGACTTGGGCAGTTGGGAAAAAAGATACCCTTCTAGTCTTAAGGGTCTATACACCAAGAAACCTTGTAATAATCATCCATAACATGTACTTATCTAATTAATAATGTTAAAAGGTCAAAAAACAACCTCTTGCTTTCTAATCTTTAGTTTAGCTTTCATTGTGATGGGATGCAATTTATTTTGTAGAATATATCTATAAGTCCAGGAGGGCCATGACATACATAAACAATTACACAAGACATATTATTATTATTATAAATGAAATGAAATGGGTTTTAACGTCCCACTGTTCCTAACCTGGGCTTATGAAGACGGGCATACGCCATACAGTGTGCTATGAGGGAAATTTTGCCCGGGCAGCGGCACTACGGCCTACTCTTATATCGAATTCCAACTGCCAAGGGATCTTTTACGTGCATGCCAATGTGTACACGGGACCTCGGTTTTTCTTCCCATCGGAACGACTAGACAGCTGTCCTTGTCAGGCCCTCCGTCCTGCATCACTGACAAGGGGAAACCACGCCAGAAAATCGGGATGAACTTTCTCGGCCAATGCAGGGATCGAACATCCGACCTCCAGGCTAGCGAGCCAGCGTCTTACCCACTTAGCCACGTGATCCCCTATTATTATTATTATAGGAAGAATATAATTACACAGACATTTCATACAATAAACAACAAACACAAGTGAATGGATCTGGGGGCCAGCCATAAGCTTACCTAACAGAATGTTATTTACTTCTCCCCTGTAGGATTAAAGATGGGTTGACAGGCAATGAAACATATGCCGGATGCCCACAGCAGCTAAATCATCTGAGTAGTCAACAAGGGTTGTCACATATTTATTTTGGGTAGCTAATCAGAGCATTTCAAAGACACTGATATCAATTTCATACAGATCAGATGATCGCTTATTTCATACAAGTGTTCACAAAGTTCAACAAGGGCCAGAACTCTACAAGATATATACGGAAACTGCTGAAATTCTACAGGATTCTTTGTTCTACTATACTAATCGAAATAATGCATATAAATTCCATACAGGTCGAATGATAACCTTTGTCGTTCTCGAGGTTATAATAATGTACACTCAAAACCATTAAAAAAGCAATGCCAAATTCAAAGTTTATTTACTGCAACAACTTTTAACAAATGTACATAACAATTGACAAAATCGAGATAACAAGCATCTATGGATAATTTCATGAAAGAATTCACTACAAATTAGTAAAAATGCACAAAACCGAAACCTCAGAGAACCATGAAACAAAGCAGGGGTCAGCTGAAGTCAATATCGGGTATGTCCACCCTGAAATCATGTTCTTGGCATGGACTGGCGAAGATGTCTCACTACACGCTGTGGGATGTTTTCCAATGATTTTGGAGTGCCTGTGCCAACTCTGCAACAGTTCGTGGTAGCACGGCTTGAGTTTGAACCCGTCGTCCAAGTTCATTCAAAGGTGTTTGATCGGGTTCATGTCGGGAGACATAGCGGGCCAATCCATAACACGGACATGATGATCGTTCAGAAAGTCTCTTGTCAACCTGGCAGTGTGGGATCGGGTGTTGTCATGCTGGAGAACCATCTGTCGACGGATGCCATGTTGAGCCAGCAATGGAAGCAATACCAGACGAAGGATGACGTCAACATAATGTTGGGCGTTGAGATTGCCTTGGACCACCATCAATTGGGACCAGAAGTTGACGTTGATAGCGGCCCAAACCATGACGCCACCTCCCCCGAAACGACCCCTTTCCAGCACGCAGTTACGAGCAAAGCTTTCATGCCGACGTCGGTAGATACGGTGACGTTTATCAGAAAAACTGAGGTTGAATCGGGATTCATCCGAGAAGATGACATTTCGCCATGGTGTGTTGTGCAGATACCCCTGATTTGCGGCCCATTGCTGTCTGGCAAGGCGATGACGATGCAAAAGGATTTGACCTTGGTATGGTCGACGGCAGTGTAACCCAAGAGCAGCCAGGCGCCTTCTGACTCTTTGAGGGCTGATCTGACGTTGCCGTGTTCCAACAGTTCCCCTGACAGTAGCAGTAGCTGACTGGAACCTATTTACCAGAAATATTTCACGAATTAGGTATTGCGTTTTTAATGGCTTTGAGTGTATATGAAATTAATACAGATCGGATGATAACTTTTGTCATTTGAACGTTTACAAGGTTCATTCAAGTGAAACAGTACATGTACCATAACTCTAGACCTTATTAATGGAAATTGCTGAAATTCATTTCAATAAACTTCTTCGTTTTACTTATCTCAAAAATACACATAAGTTTAATACAGATCGGACAATAACTTTTGTGAATTTGTAACAAGGACCATAGCCATAACTCTAGAAGAAGTCAACAAAATTGCTGAAATTCAATAGGCTTCTTGTTTTACTAATCTAAATAATGTATATAAATTTAATACAGATCGGATGGTAACTATCAGATACTATGACAAATAAGGAAAAACTCCTTTAATTTCATGCTTAGTACATGTAATTATTTGTACAGCTTATTGGATAGAATATCATCCTCATTAATTGTTCAATTTTTTTTTATCTAAATGACTCTCCCCTACCTACATGTATTGTTGGGAATGCCTGTCTTATAGCGGATGTTTACTGTACGTTTATAGGTGTATAGACCTCAGTTCATAATGTATAACTATTAACAGAGAGAGAGAGAGAAATGGGGTTTAACGTCCACTTGACACAAACTAGGTCATTTCGGGACTAATGTATGGTTTAATTTTATTTCAATAATTCGCTTGCGCGTAGGGGTCTTTAGCAGTGGGAGGAAACCGGTCATGTATAACAGATGTTATAGAACGGATGTACACAGACAGTACAAAGATGGGTAATAAGATTAATCTTTTAAGAATACCCTATTGACAGATTAGCTGTATGTATGTACATGTATACTTTATCTAATTATAATAAAAAAAACCTTACCTAAGACTTTCCATATTCCAGTGGGTGGTTTATTATCAATCTGTTGTTTGGCCTCTTTTTTTAATCTCTTTGCTTGAAATTTAGCAAATGAACCTAATTCTCTTGAATACCTACCATACAGCTGAAAAACATTTAATTATAACAAATAAATCAAACATACCAAATCTTGATTTAACTTGATTAGATATAGTATCTTTTTCAGTCAATAAATTCTTCTCTTCCATTTAATACTTTAAAATCATTGTATGCCCGAGCCTATCATACATGTATTTCATATCCGAGCAATGAAAAACTATATTTTAACTGTATTTTAGTCCATTGCAAATGAGTTGCCTCGGTTTAAAAATTTATGCCCATCTTATCGCCTATTATTAGTTGTATGATTTCAGATAAGATTATCAATGGTGATGTGATATAAACTTAGTCAAAACGGTGTCGGACATGTAAGTCACATTTTCAAGTCAAGTTTGATGGGTAAATTATAAGAAAATTTTTAAAGAAACATTTTTTCATTTTACATGTAATAAAGAAAGATGCCTTTCCGTGTACTAACTGGGTGATTTGAACTAAAAACATATTCAAACTAATATTTTGTACCAGCTCTTTATCTAATCTCCCATAATGTATCTTTAAGGTTTCAGTTAAAAAAAACAAAAATGGTGGCCTCTAGAAATTCGACATGCTTTGTCACTATTAACGTAAAGGGGATGGTAAATTTTAACTGAGCTGCGATTTTAAATACAACTAGTCAACTAGAGAGAAATGGGGTTTAACGTCCATTCGACCCAAACTAGGTCATTTCGGGACTAACACATCAATCAAACTTTACATGTACCTTCTTTGGCAATCTGATTAAAATACAGATCTAAGTTTTCTTTTATATACATATACTTTTGATGGCCTACGCTACATGAAGATCTGACCGGTTGTTGTGGAAGTTCGTGTCAGAGATCATACGAGCGGTTTCTGACATTTGTTTAACCAATCAGCGTTGATGTTTCTAGTGGGTTACCCTCAGTTCTGTGCACCTCACGACAAAAACTTGCCATAACAGACCGTTTCATTGGCTAATCCCTCACATCATCCAGAACGCGGGTTATATAACGACTGTTCCAGATCCTAGTGTAGTATTAAAGACAAGTAAAATGAAATTTTAAACTATAAAAAACAAAACGAAATAGGATCTTTGTTTTAATCAGATTGCTTCTTTGGTCCAATATTTTGACAAGTCATTATTCAAAATAAAATCAGTATATCATATTATAAAAAATGGCCAAAATGCTGATTCCCAACTTTGAACATGAAAATCCCCTTTTAAAATTGAAAGGTCAGTAAAAATCACATTGCTTTTCAATTAGCCATCCAACCCAATGCTTTCTTCACTATTCACTGTAACCCAGGTATCATTTAATCTTGTGTATCTAGCACTAATTTCTTTCACATTCGTTTAATATCAAATGTTTGTTTAAAAATTCGTAAAAATTGTTTAAAATCACCAAAAATCATCTAATTTGTACTTGTGTCCAAGTTTAAAGCTGACTGATTAATTTTGATAATGGGTGTCCAATTTACAAGTAATTAATTTCCTGACCACTGTTCAAAAATTAATCATTATACATCATTAATCAATTGGGTTTTTTATTTTTTAACAGTGATTGAGAAATTAAACACTTGTAAATTGGACACTCATTATCAAAATTGAATGGTCTGTTCTAAGTAATAAAACAATGACTGATGAAGAAGCTTTCACCCAGAAAACCAGGAAATAAATGTAAGGTTGTCCATGCAGTGTGATAGTCGAAAAGAAAGATAGAATCGGGATGGACAAAACAAAGGGTACTATTTTGTTAAAATTACAATGCATAATCGCTTTTTTATGGTTTCTAATTTATTTACAAAACTGGAGTCAAAGTAATGACTTTGAATTTTTGTCTTTTCCCTTAAATGTTTTTACTGTTGACACAATATTTTACATGATACATGTAACTGAAAACATATTCAGACAAATCATTGTTTTGTTTCATTTTTGTTATTTTTATGACCAGCTCAGCTATTGTATTATATAAACTTCTTTTTGAGTTATAAATCGATAGAATACAGTGAAAATTTCATTAAAAATTCATTTGTAATCATTTTTCAAAGTTTGTCTTTACCGTTATTGGTAGTTATTATGAAAATATCCCACAAATTGTGACCTCAAGAGGGTCCAAAATTAAACCCATCCGAGACCATTGGGATATAAACATAAATTTTAAGTTTCATCATAATTGGGAACCAGTGGCTGCTAGGCAGGATACGCCCACATTTTGCAAGAGATGGATGGAGAACAAGGTAAAAACAAACAGGAGCAATAATCCAGAAAGTTATGGTCTGAAATGCGCAAATATCAAAACATTCAAAAGGGACCAAGATCTTTGGGATATAAAGATATATGTTTCAAGTTTCATCAAAATCGGATAAAAATTGTGACCTCTAGCCTCTAGAGGGTCCTCAACCTTCGTATTGCATACTTTTACACAATTTGCGTACAAAGAGCGGACATTTTGTCAGGCAGTTTCATTTCGATTTTCCTGAAATTCGAATTCAACATTCATTACGGTGGAATGGTGATACATTTAAACGGTTTTTAAAATCCAAACTCAATCAAAATTACGGTGATATATTCGAATATTTTTTTAATCGGATAAAAATTATGACCGCTAAAAACGTGATTTTCCGTACAATCGGGGCCATAATTCAGGACAGGGGCGACACTAATCTACATCCACATGAAAATGTGGGCGTATAAAAATTGTAGATTAATAATAATCTTTGTTGGGGTCCATGCTTTAGTCTGTTTATTCAATGGTTCTGGAGTTATAGACAGAAGGTTGGGCAGCATGTATATCTGACAGTCTGTTATTTGTTAGTATGACAATATGATAATCAAACCTTCTCTTATTCCATGTGTTTGAATGCATGACCACTCGGACCAAAGACCACTCGGACAAATTGATAGACCACTCGGACCAAACTAAAAGACTACTCGGACCATACAAAAAGACTACTCGGACCAAACAAAAAGACCACTCGGACCAATAATAAAGTTTTGTTTTAATAAATTGTGTTTGTTTCAATATGACTACTAATAAATTGTTGTTTAAATAAATTGTGTTTGTTTTAATATGACTACTCGGACCGCTAATAAATTGTTGTTTTAATAAATTGTGTTTGTTTTAATATGACAACTCGGATCGCTAATAAATTGTGTTTGTTTTAATATGAAAATTATAAGTGTTATGTACTTACCCGTGGTATTTGATCATAATGAAGCACATGAAAGAAGATTAATTAACAAAACAATGATAAATGAGTAGTGATTAATAACGTAGATGAAGCACATGAAAGAAAATTGATTCATTTTTAATTGGTGTGATTGGAGTAATGTCCAAGCGCTTAAATTGTATATAAACATGTAAAATGTATATTTCATTCTTGTCTATGATATCACCTTAGGTGGAAGTGGACGTAAAACCCTAGAAACGAACGAATATTTCATTATCATTTGTCAAAATGTCCGATACGTGTATAGTTTGCGATTCTTTAGTACGACCAAGGCAGGAGGCTGTACTGTGTCATTAGTAAATTAGTAATATAAATTATATTTTGCCGGCTTTTACAAAACTGGAGGAAAAGGTCGACAATGAACAAATTAGATCCGTGTTAAATTACGTCAAAGACACCTGGATAGAAAATACTGTGTGGCCAATTTCGTCGTGGTGTGTGTTCGGCCTAACCATCAGGACCAACAACGATGTCGAAGGCTGGCATAATCGCATCAACCAGAAAGCTAAAAATGAAATCTACAATTTTATTTGTTGACAAGAAGCCAACCAACTGCCTCAACAGATGAAAATGATATCCGAAGGAAAATTAAAAAGACGAGCACAATACAAGCAAGTATTGGTCCGAGTGGTCTTCCAACATAAATTGATTGGTCCGAGAGGCAAGATAAATATTGGTCCGAGTGGTCTTCCAACATAAATTGATTGGTCCGAGTGGTCTTCCAACATAAATTGATTGGTCCGAGAGGCAAGTATTGGTCCGAGTGGTCTTCCAACATAATTTGATTGGTCCGAGAAGCAAGATAAATATTGGTCCGAGTGGTCTTCCAACATAATTTGATTGGTCCGAGAAGCAAGATAAATATTGGTCCGAGTGGTCTTCCAACATAAATTGATTGGTCCGAGAGGCAACATAAATATTGGTCCGAGTTGTCTTCCAACATAAATTGATTGGTCCGAGAGGCAACATAAATTGGATCGAGAGGCGATCCTTTGGGTTGGCTCGAGAGGCAACATAAATCGATTGGTCCGAGTGGTCTTCCAACATAATCAATTGGTCTGAGAGGCAAGTATATTGGTCCGAGTGGTCTTCCAACATAAATTAATTGGTCCAAGAGGCAACATAAATATTGGTCCAAGTGGTCTTCCAACATAAATTGATTGGTCCGAGAGGCAACATAAATTGATTGGTCCGAGTGGTCTCCGTTTTGGTCCGAGTGGTCTTTGATCCGAGTGGTCCGGGTACCATCTGTTTGATAAGACAGATAACACACAGGTAAATTTATAATATCCATAATTTGTTCATAACCGATGAAATCCATTTTAAAAAAAAAGGAAGGTTCTTGTATTGTCATTGTGGATTGATCTGTCGATTCTGTGTTTACATTTCTTTGCATTGCTTGCTGTTGTTACTTTCACTTGTGACATTTATTACATGAATATGAGGCATTAAAAACATGACATAACAACTGATGTATATGTCTCACTACCCAGGCTATCTGTTGACATATATTTAAAAGATTTTCATTCATGATTTTATAGCTAAATTCACTTACTAAGGTTTGTTCGTAACCAAACTTCTGCTTTTCCGCCATACTTTTCTCGCCGCCTAGCGGCAAATCTCTCTGATTGGTTAGGGGTAATGTCACTTCCTGCAAAAAAACAAAAGCCAAAAGGTAAAAATCGCAACGAATCAATGGAAATTTGTTATTTCTTGTTGCCAAAGTTTTCTAGAATCACGGAATTAGCATCGACTACCCCTACTAATCATACAACAGTAGCTTTTTTCTAGAGAACTTGAAAGTACACACAGACCTATAGTTTATAATATTCATTTATAATAAATTATATAGGCCTATCCTATTCCTACACGTAGGCCTACGTAGTACGTCATGCTAAAAAAAAAAGTAAAAAAGTTAATTTTGCTTCAATCTTAATTGATTCTGGTCACCGATTTGCGCCAGTCAAAGTACTTGTCATTATATAATATTTGTGTATTTCTTTCAAATGGAGTGTTTAGGCTCTTGTGTTTCTCGAAATATTTTTTTAAAAAATCTTATCGTCTTTGTTTCCCTCCAGGAATGTTTCTGACACCAGCCCAATCAAGATTAACACAACGACACAAGAAAAAAATAATTTATTTTACTTTACAACCTTATAAGTTATTTCCAAATTAAAACCCAAGTCCTAAATTGTAACGCCCTACACCCTCATTTAGCCGTACCATAATATATAGCCTACATAATAAGTAAAATCCATGCAACGGAAATATATATATATAGGCCTATACTATAGTTATAGTTATAGCCTTTAAACTTTAACAAAGACCACAGACGTCATGATGAAAAGCGTCTAAATTAGTACTACAGTATGTAATTTGAATACAGAAGTGAGTCCATATTCCACTGGTTTCCTGTTAACCCGGACATGTTGGCTTCTTATCAGCGTACGTAAACGACTACAAATAATGCATTATTAATGATTAATAACATTAATAACACACCTAAAACTAGAAGACACAATCACGGACCCTGATTATCGATAATTTTGTCCATGCACAGGTAGCCTATAATAGATTGCCCCACCCCGCCCTCCTCTATCTCCTGAATTTGTAGCTGTACAAATATATAGGCCTACATCTGTACATTATTTTGTTTTGTACGCAGAACGACCTACTTTATTCTTGTATCTTTTGTTCTGTCTTAGTTTCTTGTAAAGACAAAGTTTTGCTCATTTTGGCATGTTATTCACGTTGCTCGAAGAAGGTTCATATATATTCACGCACTATACTATACTCGTTTACTTTTTCAAAATGGCTTGTAAAGCGACATATAAAATGCTCACGCTTTTTTTTTTTTTTTTTTTTTTTTCATTTGTTAGAAATGTTACAATTTTGCATAAATAAAACCCGTTAACGTTAATCACGTTCGAGATGTTAAGCAATAATCAGGTTTATCATGTTTATGATATAATCTAGTGTTATACCATAGATCGTATTAATAGTACAGTTCTATGGTTATACAATGTTTAATATAATGGATGTATCGTAACCCCAGGGGAATACTAACGACTACGGACACTGTAAAGCCTGGCGCACACTATGCGACAACTTAAGCGACGAGTTTGGCGACAAATATCGCCGCGACATAAGTGGAGTGAGCATACTACACGACAACTTTGGCGACCACGAAAAAAAACCCTGTCACGTGCTTCGTCATGTGACACCTCTAAATGTATTTTAGTCATCATCGCGTTGACTACTTCAGTTTGTCTGCGATATCACCTCGGTGGAAGCGGACGTTAAAACTAACTCAAACACGACTACTTCAATTAATATTGTTTTGTACATGATGATCAGACGGCGACGTCGCCGTCTTAGTAGCCTACAACGCCGGCCGAGTGCAGTTCGTTTATGGTATTCCAAGTAACGAGCTCAAATTGGGCGACTCTTGTACAGAAAATAGGCTACGTGAGGATGAGTCCAGAAATATTCCAGAGTATCCTAAATATAACTAATCCTCACATTACCAAACAAACAACCAAGATGGGACAACCAATAAGCCCAGGAGAGTGACTGACTGTGTCAACCTCCGTTTTCTCGCTATACAGGTTTTGGGGAAAAAACGCCCATTGTAAGTACAATCTATGAGTCCTACGACTATATTATTATTGAGTATATTGCTCTACAAACGGAACAATCCACTGGGCCTACCATGTATACGACAGCTCACACATTTAATAAGTGGCAGAATTGCAAACTTAATTTCAATTAGTTAGGCCTAAATTAGATTACCCGAGCCACTTATACATGCAACTGGAAAAATTCCGAGAAACCTCGTGTGTGGTTATGTCACATGAGAAGAATAACCAAAAATGATTGGTTTAATAGGTGAATTTATTTCCATGTTTGTCGCTTAATTTGCCCCGACGGAGCGACGACTTGGGCGATCATATCAAACATGTTTGATATCAGCGACCATCGCGGCCAAAAATCGCTACCGACCGAGTGCGCACACTAGGCGAGTTTTTGATTTTCATCGTCGGCGACCGACATCGCCAATGTCGTCGCGTAGTGTGCGTCAGGCTTAACTCTTCTCCGTAAGTTTTGCTGAGGTTTCATACACAAGCCGAAAATAGAAAGGCAATAAAACATTCCAAATATCTTTGATTTGAAATGATTTCTCTAAGACGCGGAGTTTCGCAAGGATCTGTGTTTTGACCAATACCGTTTGTATAATGAAAAAACAAATTTACAAATAGAATGATTTACCGCGTTTTTTAGGGTTTTTTTTATAAATTTAGTAACGAAGCTTAACTTATACAGGGCATTCGTGAATTTGTTTTTAAAAAAATATATATATGAGGAATTAACAACACGTTTATTTGGTTTATACACACTCTACCCCACCTTCAACTAAACTCGAACGAACAGCGGCATCGTAGCTTTCAAAGGTCATGAACGTAAAGGTACTTTCAGATATAAATAATCTTCTTTATACTTTATCATTTACTTGAAAAAGAAAGAAAAGTACACATAATGCTTCGTATGAAGTCTCCCCGTTGACTGCAATTATATATTCGTTATATAAACTCATTTTCATAATTAAAAATAAATAAATGATTGAATCCTGACGAAAGTGATTAACACAACGTATAGTTAACTAAAGCGAGCCTGTTATGTGGGTGCAACCGGTTAAAGAAGTTCTAGAATACATAGTTATTATCTTCTATAATCTTTCTTACACAACCAATTTTGTATAGTAAAACTAGAACAGAAAAATATATACCTACCTTTATGAACTATTAAATTGTTATAGATATCCAACACGCAAAGTTATTAAGGAGATTAACTTAGTGTGACCACTGAGAGGGTTTTTAAAAAAAAACTGTTTTGCCGTTCCGGCCGACTCGAAGCCTTACTAGTTGGTATCTGATGACAAAGTGATGAGAAGTTTATCTATATTTCTTATAGCCCAAACGTTACTTTTAGTCTCGCCTCCGGGCAGACGTATATGACGGCTCGGTGACATGCTTATTTGAGAATATATATAGCCATGCGTGGAATAATATATATATATATTTATTCATATTCACTTATATCATCTTATTTGAAATCACGTAGCATGTCCTATATTGAAGATAAATTTTTGTGTAAGGTATAAGGAAAAACACATTTAATGTGTATTTTGTACTGGGTTTTTTTATGGAATGTGAGAGGTATTTTATCATTATAGAGCGGTATGAATCGATATCGGTGTAACGGAATTACTTTGTGCAGTAATTTTTAAAAATATAATCAATTCCTTTTTTAGATATATTTGGGCGGTGGGGTATTTGGTTTATATTGAAAAAAAATAAAGCAGACTACACAGTGAACCAGTCTGTAAAAGAGAGAGAGAGAGAGAGAGAGAGAGAGAGAATGGGGTTTAACGTCCATTCGACACAAACTATGTCATTTCGGGATTAACACGCATGGTTCAATTTTATTTCAACAATTCGCTTGCGCGTAGGAGTCTTTAGCAGTGGGAGGAAATCGGAGGACCCGGAGAAACCCCACGGGGTTGGACAGGCGATCCACTCCTTATAATTGTCACGTTCAACCGTTGAATTGAAACCACGCCAGTTGACTGAATGACAGATCTTATGATACAGCGCGCACGTGCTAAACATTCGGCCATCCAACACCCCGTCTGTAAAAGTAAGATTGCCAATAACCTTTCTGCTAGGTCAGCTATATGAAATGATAGATTATGCCTTTGTCTTATCATTGCCATAAATGACATCAAATACTCAATCAATCATAAAACTGTCTATCGTGTAGATATCATTGCTATAAATTATTAATAATTCTTCTTATCCGAATCAGAAGAGAATATTCATACTTTATATATAGTACACAATAATATTTTGGAAGATTAAGATTTACACTTCTTTAAGTGTAAACACGTTAAAACTTCATAATACACAACACTCTTTACAATTAAACCCATTAGGGTGTTCGGTGCCATGGCCAGGAATATCGGTTACGTTTACGCTAAGGTGCAGGCAGCTACTGGTTACACTTGCACTGTGTAAGCGTGTCATTTTTAAAAGGCTAGCCGTGGTGTAAATTTTACACTGCTTATAGTTATAAGTTGCAGCCAATTTAAACAGTGAATATTAAAACATGTGCAGTGTTTGCTGTGTTTTATACAAGCTGATTCGCTCTTTCGTATGGGGCCCATTGCGCGCTTCCACCAAGGGTGATATCGCAGACAATATAAACTGGAAAGTCTGAGACTATATACGGATGTGCAAATTCGCTTGACCCGTCGATGGGACAATAATCATTTATGGACAATGTTTAACAAACATAATGTGTGCAAAGCACACATACAAACTAATGACCATCACATAAGTTCTAACTTCTACTTTTCTCAAAGGTCAAACAAAATGTATATTTTCTGCCAAAAACGTTTAATACGGAGGAAATGAACAATAGCCGATAGTGTATTTGCAATGGAAAAGGAGCAAAGTTTTTAAAAAGAAATCAACTGCGCAGCTGGTGCCCCATATAGAACTGGTTCCGTCTTGCTCCAGCCGCAGTAGTGGAACGTCCTATAAGGCCTTCTTTTGAACAAGTTTTGTAGTCATTTGAATACCAAAAAGTTAC